AGTTTTAGTTTCCATCTGGCTGCATGTTGTGGTATGATGAAGGTTGTTTCCAGTTGCTATATCACTTTTTATAGCTGAAACTGCAGTTAAGAGTGCATTTGCAGCTTGTATTTTCATTGCTTACCTTGAATTACCAGGCATTACTTTACTATTTTTGTATTTTTCTGCTTATCATTTTACTATGTTACAGCAGGAACCAGAGTTAAGAAATAGTATAGATGAACAAAATTATGTTGCAATTTGTCCTGAAAGCAGTTCAACTATCAAAAACATTATTGCAAGCAACCTTCAGTGAACTGCTTATTGACAAAATCTTTCCTGCTTCTTTTGTTTCCATTTTGGACTCCTAACAATTTCTGTCCAATTTTTTCATTTTCCTCTTCCTCTTCAGTAGAGAAGAGAAGAATATTAGGCAAGTTTTGTTGCCTGCAAAGCTGCAGCAGCCAAAAACACAGTAATTATTTACCATTGCAGCCAATGGCTCAAACAGCTTATTCCCACAATGGGTAGTGGCAATTGTCAACGTGATGCAATGATGATTCATATTCTCAATTAAAACCATGAATATTTATTGTGAAAAGCAAGAGTAAAACAAATTTTCTAGTTAGACGAAGTAAAGTTTTAAAAATGCAAAGTTCACACACCAGAATGGAGTTCAGTAGCAGTTGAGTAGTTGTTTAATGTTCCTTTAGTAGAGGATTTGACTAAGCCCCAGAGGTAGTGATCTAATTGGAAACCCATACCATACCCCACCATGTCATGTACTCCATGGGGTAGTGGAGTTTGATACTGATAAGTACACTGTACTTTCACTGTAATTGTCTGCTATTGTCATATACATGTAGTTATTTTTACAGGCATTTACCTTGCTGCAAAAAGAGGTTTCTAATGAGTTTTTGCTTACATGTGCAGCAGAAGACTCGAAGCTCAAGTAGGTACAAGTTTCAGGTGTAAAGGCTACCATACACGCTTTGCAGTTAAATTTTGTGGCTTTAATTTTTGTGTTTTTCTATTGTTCAGGAAGTCATCAATCTTCAGATGCACCCAATTTCAGACGCTTTTTTACATGGAAAACATTATCCTATTGACATGAAACTGCTGAATTTTATAGCCGCTACTCTCCTTAGCTTGCTTACAAATAGTCACAGCACCTGCACAAACAGCTCCGAAGTGATCAGCTCTCAAACATGGCATCTGAAAATTCCAATCATCAGACAAATCTCTCAAATTACAGACAACTTCTTTTCAAGAGAAGGAAAAAAGATTAGAAGTGCTGCTATGGTTAAATGATAGGTATGTCTTTACCCCATAATGGCAAGGTATAGATGATTATCTTAACTCACGTTTCATAGAAATGTACCAGCTCAAAAATATCACGTGACATAATCAACTTACGGAATAATTTTAAGTAAAATATATAAACACTTGCTGACAACTGTCTCTGTCCCTCACTCTGTCCTCTCCTCTAGCAGTATCTATGCCTCTAGTACTGACGAATGTCTCGTTTTTTCCACTTCCAGTGAATGCTAAATCATGTACCCTTCTCTAAAAAGTCAAGTTGTGAAATCATCAAATTTCTGTTCTGTTGTTAGTGCTGTTCAGACTGAGGCTGGGCGAGAAAATTATCACACGTATGATGATTGTAATTTAGAGATGGCCATGGCTGCTGTAGATGAAGGAAACAATTTCAGAAGGGCTGTAGAAATGTACGGTGTACCCAGAGCAACACTCCACAATCACTATTGTGGGAGGCATGACAATGGAAAGGCTCATCCTAGACTGTAATTGAGTTTTGGGGAGGAAGAACTGGTTGTTTCAGCACTATATGCAAAAATTGGATATCCTTAAACAAGGAAACAGGTTTTGCAAATTGTACAAGACATTGTCAATACAAAAAGAATTGAAGCAGAGGTTTCAAGTGGGTGGTGGGATAGTTTTTGTCGACGACACCCATCAGCTGTTCCCAGGTCAGCTATGCCACATACAACTGATCCAACAGTCTTAAATGCGTACTATGACAAATTAGAAGAGATTCTGAAGTTCAATAAATTTTTGACAAGGCAGGAATTGTGATGAGAGTGGCTTTTCCTTGTCACCTAAGTCCCCTAAAGATTGTTCTGCAGGGATGAAAGTAGTCCCACTCATTACTTGTGATATGAAGACACAGGTAACCGTGCTGGCTTGTATGAATGCATCAGGCTATGTATTGCTGCCTTGCATCATTTTTGTTAGGAAGATCATTAATCCTCAGCTTACTGTGGGAGAAGCCGGCAAAAGTTATGGCTTGTCTAATAAAAGTTGGATGGATAAAGGCCTTTTTTCTTATTGGTTTCTAAAGCAGTGTCTGATGTATGCGCCCACTGCCAGACCACTATTGCTAATACTTTATGGGCACTTTAGCCACTATTGCCCTGAAATCATACGTCTTTATGGAGCAGGATATTATTTTTACCCTTCCACCAACTACTATGCACATCACTGAGTCTCTTGATAAGGGAGTTTTAAGTCCTCTGAAGTCAGCCTGGAAAATGTATGCTTTAAGTTTTTTGCTAGTATTCCAGAAGAAGTGCATTACACGATCTGAATTCATTGAACTTTTCTAAAGCATGGAGTCAATCGATGACTATCAGAAATGTTAAGGCTTTTTCGTGCAACTGGAATTTGTCCTTTTAAATTGAAAGCTACAATTATAAAGCAATTTGAGCCATCTGATATGATGAAAGATTCAAAAGTGAAATATCATGCAATGTATAGTCCTCAACTGAAGTCTAAGGGGGTTCATAATATTTTACCCAGTCACGAAAGCAACCATGATGACTCTTATGCTTCAGATACTGACCGATGTGTGACTCCTTTTCCCAACCATGATGACTCTTATGCTTCAGATACTGACCGATGTGTGACTCCTTTTCCCGATATTCCAACATTTGGAAACTATTAGGACTATAAAATTCCAGAGCTCCCAAAGTTACACAAGGAAAAGAAAACTGGTCTTGTTTTGACAAGTGCAGAAAATTGTCAACGTCTACAAGAAAAAGACAGTAGTGTTGTTTTGGTATCAACATTTGTTTTGGTTATAGTTGTAGTTATAGTTCGAATGGTCTATAGTTTAAAACTTGAATAATGTTTTAGTTCTAGTTTTAGTTTAGTTACAGACTTATGTTTTCTTTCAGTTTTAGTTTAGTTTTAGTTTTTTCCCTATTAAAATAAATTTAATTTAGTTTTAGTCTTGAAGAAAAGTTTTAGTTTTAGTTAAAATTTAAGTAAATATATCCAATAGCACTAGCCATTTTCTAAAATTACAAGTACAATGTGGTAACCATGGGTTAACCAGGAGCATATAATATATGCATGCATGATCTGTAACTAACTGAAAGATATTTTGGTTTATAACATGTAATTGTATTAGTTTTAGTTTGTTTTGAAAACATCATTGACTTTTAGTTATAGTTTTAGTTTAGTTCTTTTACTCTGTTTAATTTTTAGTTTTAGTTGTAGTTCAGTTTAAACCTCCAATGACTTTTAGTTTTAGTTTTAGTTTTAGTTTACTGAAAGTAAAATGGCTTACTAAAAGTACATTTAGTTTTAGTTATAGTGAACCAAAACAACACTATAAGACAGGATAAAAAAGAGAAGTTACTTGAGAATGAAAAGAAGCAGAAAATGAGAGAAAAACAAGAATTGCGAAATTGTCTAAGAAGATAGGTGACAAAGATATCAATTACTCGAGGACAGGGTAGTGGTCAAAAGAAGACTGGTAACTTATTGAATATGGAATTGTCTAAAACTTATCAATATATCAAGCTGTAAAAATTGCTGAGCTCTATAGGATTATAAAAATGAATCTTGTTAACTTTTAAGATAAACTCTAGCAGAGCTTTTCATTCTATACTGTAGTTGACAGTAATGAAGAGGAATGGTGTATTGGCTTATTCAGTGACAATGAAGATTATCATAGATTATCAGTTACTAGAGGAAGTGGTCAATTGAAAGCTGGTATATAATATTAATTCTGATATGTATATTCATGTACTTGTATATTTTATTGTAGTTCATAGTGAGAAGGAAGATTTACCATGTATCAGTGACAATGAACATGGACACATAACCAGTTACTAGAGGGAGTGGATGTGGGCATCTTCAAATGAAAGCTGATACATGATATTAATTGTGAATGTTTATTCATGTACTTGTACATTTATTGAAGTTCATTGTGAGAAAGAATTATTGTGTATCAGTGACAATGAAAATGGACGTGGATTACCAGTTCTAGAGGGTGTGGTAGCCATCAAATAAAATCCAGTACATTATATAAATTGTGATATGTTTCTTCATTGACTTGTATATTTTATTGTAGCTCATAGTGAGAAAGAAGAAATATTGTGTATCAATGACAATAAAGATGGACGTGGATTACCAGTTACTAGAGGGTGTTGCCGTGGTCGTCATCCAGCGAAAGGTGATACATTATATTAATTGTAATATGGTTATTAATGTAATTGTATATTTTATTGTAGTTCATAGTGAGAAAGAATTATCGTTTATCAGTGACAATGAAGATGGATGTGGATTGCCTGTTACTAGAGGCCTTGGGTGTCGTCAATTGAAAGCTGGTACATTACGTTAATTGTGATATGATTTTATTCATGTATTTGTATATTTTATTGTAGTTCATAGTGAGAAAGAATTATTGTGTATCAGTGACAATAAAGATTGACGAGGTTACCAGTTATTTGAGGCCGTGGTCAAAAAAAAGCAAGTAAATTATTAAAATTTTTACATTTAAATGTGATTGAAGTAGAGAGTAAGAAAGTACATGTACTTTACTTTAGCCAAATTTCCTTTAATTTTGAGTGAGGTGCTCTGTACAATGCCACAACTTTTTGTATTTCTTATACTTTCGCATGGACGTATAATTATGCTTTGCTTGGTCCTTAAATTTTACATTCTTTTAGTAGTACTTGTAATTATACAATACTTGTAGATCAGAAGATGGTAAAGTTACAGGAAATCAAGGAGAAAGTACTGACAAAGCAGAAGGTACAACTCAGATGTACGAGTATGTATCCTCATGCTTGAATGTTTATCATACGTTTAGCTCAATTGCATGTATATGGACAGTTGCAGTGTGTACAAATCTTGTTCAAATTGAAGGTACTTCTATCTTTTTATGTTGTTCATTTGTATTTTATATCTGTTTAGCTGATGAAACAGATCACTGGTGGCAGAAAAGTCTCATTTGAAATTTTCGGACCTTAACTGTATTGTTGAAGGGTTTATGTTACAAGATACCATTATAAATGCTGCTCAAAGCATCTTGAAGAAGCAATTTCTTTTCAAAGGAGAATTTCAGAGTAAATTAATTAATTAAAGACAAAGGGAATTATTTGATACTCTTCCATTTCATTCACACTCTATAGCAATATTACATACAGGTATAATAAGCATAATACATTTGTGCACAATATTTAATTTAAGCTTTTTCATTTTTAGGATAGGATATGTGTGGAAATATATCAAAAAGGAAGTGAAAGTGATGGATAGCTTAGGTGAATTGTTGGATTTGAATGACCACACTTTAATTCAAATAGCAAGGTTTAGGTTAGTGAAATCCAAGAAGACCTCTATAATCATACAACAAGTTTCAACACAGCAACAATTAGGTGTTCGTGACTGTGGGCTCATTGAAATAGCCAATTCGCTAGAAGTATATCTTTGAAGTCTCACTTTACATCAAAGATTTCACCGCAAGAGAATGCGTCATCATATAATTGAGTGTTTAGAAAACCACCATTTCACTCCTTTCCAAAAACAACTGCACGTTTTATTTTCTCATAAGAAAACAATCGAAGTGGTTGTGTATTGTATTTGTCATCTTCCTGATACATATGATGAAGAGATGATCCAATGCATCACAAGAAGTGCATTGAAGTTCACGATATTGGTGATGAAAGGCCTTGTCTTAATTGCGACTCTAAAGTGTAAGATTTTGAGTTTTATTGTGTTCATTTAACTATTCAAAAGTTACTAAAATAAATTAATTTCTTGTAAAAGACCGTGAATTGATTATGTCACGTGATACTATTGAGCTGGTACATTTCTATGGAACCAGAGTAAAGATAATCATCTATACCTTGCCATTATGTGGTAATGACATACCTATCATTGAACCATAGCAGCACTTCAAATTTTTTTTTCTGTTGAAAAGAAATTGTCTAAAATTTGAGAGATTTGTCTCAAAT